TGTATGTATATATGTATGTATGTATGTATATATATATGTATGTATGTATATTGAGAGAGAGGGAACGTGTATGCACATGCAAATTACTTGTATGCAGGTACACATATCTTATAGATGAACGGTTATTAGGGGTATTAATCAGTTTTTCATTTTTTTTTTATAGTTTTCTCTATACTTGGCCCTATGTATATAACAATAAAATCTACATAAGAGGATGTTTTGTACGGTTTATACAAATGGCTTGGTTTGCATTTGATCCCTCTCCTATATTAATGAAATTTATTTATGAAATTGTTTCATATAATTATTTTCTTGATGAAATTATTTCATATATGTTTTGCTTCTATGTAAAAATGAAACAATTTCATTATTTTTTTTTATTTTCATGGATTTTTTTTAAATCAATATAATGAAGATAATTAAAATATATAGGTCATGTCTATGTACATTTCACCTTCTAGACTGGCATATTCTACTTTCGAACGAATTTCAGCTATGACCAATGACCCCCTAGCTGAATAGGCGTAAGAAAGCTACCTGAAAAAGGCAATAATGTTTATAATTAATGTCTTACACAATAAAAATGATTAATCAACCCAAAAAAAAGTGTAAAAATAATAAAATTATTATTGTTTGAATGAAGTTCATATAGTTTGTGCAAATGACTATAGAGAGAGGGGAGGGAGCGAGGGAGGGGGGGTTACTTTGCAAACCTCTTATTTCATGTAAACAATAATTCCATGTTTTTTTTCTTTATTTTTAATGAATAAGAGTTTGAATATCAGTTTACTTTGTAATTAATAATCTTGGTAATGTTTTAATTTTTTTTTCAAGTCACAAGTAGTTACTGATTTATTAATAATATAGTTATGATATTTTCCAGATTTTGAGTATATTGTTTTGTTTTTATTCGTAAAACAAATGTCATTAATAAAACCATGTTATACAGTTTTCAAAATGTTTCAAAAATGAAACTAATTTCATTTTGGTTAGGGTCCATGAAACTACTTTCATTATTGACCGAACCATATTTGATTTTATTAATAAAACCTTTCATCTTGGTTTACAGTTTTCATTAATAAAACCATGTTATATAGTTTTCAAAATGTTTCAAAAATAAAATAATAATATTCAGGTCTTGAAATGTTTCATTGACTGAACTATTATTGATGAAACCAATTTCACTAATGAAATCGTATTATTCATTTTGCAAATTTTTTCATTCATAAAACCGATCTCACTAATGAAATGTTTGTCAAATCCAATAATGTTTGATCAAATAAAAATGAATCTGAGGATAATTCTTTTTTGAATATTGAACATGAACTCAATTTCACGAATGAAGTCATTTTATTTAGTTTCCAAAGCGTTTTCACTGATTAAATAAAATTATAAAATAAAATTATTTGAAAACGGGAAATGATCAAACAATATGGCTGGAAGTTAAAAATGGTTTGCCAATTTTGCCCTTTCTTGATTAAATATCAAACCTTTTATTTTAATTTATTTTACTTTTCTAATACAACACATTTTAATCATGATATTGATCAAGTAAATGAATGGATGAGATTGGTTTGTAAGGTTTGCACAAAAGGGGTGGTTTGCATTTGATCGCTACTCTCTCTCTCTCTCTCTCTCTATATATATATATATATATATATATATATATATAAAGACTTGAGATCATGTGAGACCAAAGGTTTTTCGTGAGACCCGTAAGACCAATTCTCAACCCTTGGATTAGATCTACAATCTCAACATTCATAATCACAAAATTGCCATGAGAGTTCTCAATAATCACAAAATTGCCACTATGCAACTTTAGACCATTAGATCATTAGCTTATAAAGTTGATTAATGAACATAAATTGGTCTCACGGGTCTCACGAAAAACCTTTGGTCTCACGTGAACCCAACCCTATATATATATATATATATATATATATATATATATATAAAGAGAGAGAGAGTAGAGAAAGGTTCAAACGGAAACACCTACATTTTATGAAAACATGAGAACACTCTTATCACATATGAGGGGATCTGCTGGCACATACGACATGTCCTATAACCTAGGTCGTGCCAAATATCGTCCATGTCTCTAATTTAATATCACATATAATATATTATAGTATTACATCAATAACACTCATATGATATATAATAATACACATGATAAGAATTCAAAATGTAACATATAAATAATTTTTCTTATTATAGTTTTTATTTTCTTTTTACACATCAACCAACAATACACAATACTTGCATTTTTCACATGTTTCGCACCACACATTATACACATGTTTCACACCACATCATGCACCATACCAACCCCAACTATGATGCAACCACGATATTTGTTAAACCCACGTAACTTTATTTTTAATAAATTTTAAGATTGTTTATTGGTATACTTTTTGTTTTTTAAAAGCAATGTTTAGTTTGATTAACTGAATTATTAAATGTAGCAGTTGTTTCGACAAACATTTTGATATCTTAAAAACAAGGACGTCAATGCTTTCTTTTTCATTTCAAATTAGTTCAGTAAATTGACACATGATTATCTTGAAAAAATAAAAGTGTAACATCCCAATTTTTGGATTTAAGGGTCTGTTTGGTTGGTTTTTTATTAAGTTTTATATGAATAAAGTTGTTTGTGTAGATCAATCCGTCTATATAATTGAGAAAGTTTTTTCATAGATGATATGAGTGTATTTTTTAATTGGGAGAAATGTGTTTGGAAAAAGTTTGGCTTTCTGCATAAAACTTCCTCTGAAAATTTTACAGAATAAGTCATTTTCTATATCATTAAGCTACTACCAAACAGTCATATATAACTGACCAAACAAGCTGTGAGTCTCGTTAAACTGTTAACGAATAGTCCCCAAGTTGTAAAGTAAGTATCAATGGAGGACCAAGGTTGTCAAATTAGTAGTTCAAGGGCTAAAGCAGCAAAAACAGAGAAGTTATGGACTGAATTGGATTTTTGATCAATTTAAATAAAAGAGACGACACTTTACGAAATTTAGAAGCAAAACTTCACAATTTGGAAAGTTTCTGGTAAAAATTTGGCAAAAGAATTCATCAATTCTAGGCATTGATTTCAATGTTTTAAGTTCGTTTAAAGCTTTAATCAATAAACAGAAAAAAAAAAAAAAACTGATTACGAAAATCGAACTGATGACTATCGTATTTGTCTAACCTCGTGTCTGAAAATTGAGTACAAGTGAAGTTCAATATCGTGTCTCTAAGAGTCAAGGCTAGAGGTGAACATGGTACCTTACCACGTTTTTTTTTCCCATATATTTTGTACCAATCAATTATAATCGGTGCGTAAAATTTTACACCAAATATCAGCCAACTGTACTTGATACCAACCTTTTTTAGTTGATACATGTTGGTACAACATCGTACAAGTTAAAGTTACAAATTTATCTATATTGACATTTTTAACAACTAGATCTAAATGCACAAAAATCATCGAGCGTTCAAATGATATGTTGATATGTGTTGTACACCTATACAAATATTCAAATTAACTTTTATATAATACAAACACTCACTAACAGTCCAATGCAAATGCAAGCAGACCTCAAGGAGCGAAGATGGATCATGGAGATGTGCGCGAGTTACTAAGATTGTCAACGTTAGGAGAATGAATTCGAGTTTTGCATACCCATCCTTGCTATAATTTAATAAAACTAAAAATAAGATGGTTGAAAAAAACTCAAAATACATTCTATTATTGATTAAACTTTAATAAATGAATAATTAAAAAACTAAGTGGGTACAGTACAATATTACCGTGATACATGTCTTCTAATATCATGTATACCAACCATGTTTAGATAGTTGGTACGGTACTATCAACCGACTAAATTGGTACAAAAATTGGTTGATTTGTCTTGGTACAAAATCCAACCCTACTCAAGCATTAAACTGCTAAGAATTGAAGCTTCCATGTTTGAAACGTAAATCAATGAAAGAGGGCTCAATTTAGTAGCATAATTATCGTTTAAATGTCAACTATACTTCTATCGATCAATTTTGCGAAAGCCAACAGTCGAACCCAACAAGTGAAGAAGAAAATGTTGGTATTGTTTCTAAGCAAAAAGAATGAGTAAAGTTAAGGTTGTTACCAAAACCGGCTCGAACAGTTGCCAGTAGCGAACCATGGATATTTGTGGATTGTAGACAAGCTTGAAGCGAGCTTTAACAAAGTTCACGTTCAAGTTCACATGGACAAAGCGAGGTGCAAGGTGGGAAGCTCGTTTGTGAGTTTACCCAAGTATAAAGAATATCGACAATGAGTTAAACCTCGCATGGAGGTCGTATCCAGTGGCGACGCTAGATGAGGGCAAGGTCGAACATAACTCACACCGGTCAACACAAGGTTACTTACAGTTCGCTCCCAAAGCATAAAGCAGTGTTTAGTAGCAAGTGTGGGAACTTACATTATATAGGTGCTTGCCTCATTAACATATTAGTTTCAGTTCCGTTTCAAACCAAACCACCATTCTCCACCCGGGCATAGGGTTTGAAAGTGGGATGCATGCAAACCTGAGCTCTAAAACGTAAAACAACTGTTTCGGTGCATTTAAACTATAACAACCAAATAGAAAATGTTGTAAACCCCATTCCAACAAATGGAATTTGTACAGAAACAACATGTCTCTTTTCAAACCTATTTAAAAGAAAACTACAATGAAATATATATCATTCACAAGACTACCAAAAAACAAAGCAAACTAAATAATACATAAACTCTACACACAGAATATGAGTTTAGAGTATGGAAGCAAAGTTTGATTATAACAATTTCCTATTTCTATCTAATAATCAATCAAGATCCATATCGAGTAGTCGATAGCAACAAGACGTATATGCAAAAGTGACCTTACAATCGCTTCATTGTTGCTGTACTTTCAATAAGGCTTGGTGAAACATGTCGATGAATTGATTATCCTGGACGTTATCATTTACAACCAGTTTTAGAATCGCATGTGATCTTTGAGAATGCAAGATATATCTATCGACTTGTTTATGTCTAGATACCTATTAAAGGAGTTTCAAGTCTCGTTTTTGAGATATACACAAAACAAGCGTGTCAATTTCGACTATTCCAAAGTAAATTCCGTGAACCCAAGGCTGTAATAACGTCAAATTATTACTCTTGGAAAGTGTTCCTGACACGATCCAAGTTTCTATTTTCAGGTGTCATTTGAATACATCATTGATATCACGGAACCCTAGATTCTACCAGTTTATAGTAGAGATGGCCAGAAACCAATTCGATACTAGTCCTGACCAAAAACACCAGCCCGTTTTTCATGTACAAAGCCCGATCCCTAGACCCGGTCACTGTCCCGAACCGGGCCCAAATTGGTCCCATATAAAAAAAAACATGTTTGAAGATTTTCCTTTTTTACACTTTAAATATTTTTCTAAATCTTGTAAAAATCTTGGAAAACATGATATATATATATATATATATATATATATATATAATTTATAAAAACTTACCTTTTTTAGAAAATCGGGCGTCCCGGTCCCATAACCTGTCTCGGGGCTAGGCCTTGAATTTTCCTAAGAAACATGGCCAGGCCTTGAATTTTCTTAAAAAACATAATCGGTGCCTACCGGTCCCGATCCAAAGTTGGGGCCAGGCCGGGCCCATTTAGGCCATCTCTAGTTCATAGGCAAGACAGATAAAGACGCACTTGATCATGTAAAAACAAAATTTGAGACGGTGCAAATAAAATAAATATTAGCACCTGGGCAAGGATTAGAAGCGCATCCCGAACCTTTTCCCTGCTTAACGATCCATAATTTGGAGCGGACCCGGAACCAGGGGTAAGGGATGGGGGTGGTGCAGGTGGAGGAAATGGTTGGAGTAACGGAATACCATGGTTGCGTTGTGTGTTCAGTGGAGGCTGAAGCGGAGCAACTGGCATAGATTTAGGAACGGGTTGTGGCATCAATGGAGATGAAGATGAGGAGGGTGTAAAAAAAGAAAGCGGTTTAATGAGGTTGGTGACATGGACATGGTTACTGCTGTTGACTGTGTCTGGATTGTCATGGATCGGCATTCCAGGTGTGGATGAAGAAAGTGACGGGATTTGCAGTGCTGTTCCATTAAGCGCAGGAGAAGATGCAACACGAGAGTGTAAAGGAACTGCTGTCAAGCTATGGTAAGACTGCATGGAATTAACCGAATTGGAAGCATGATGTCCCAAATTCATAGCATTCTGCAGTGAAAGAATTTAGTTTGCAGAATCAGAACGAAATAGAAGTACAATCATGAAAGACACTAAGAAGAAATCCATAATGCCTACATAGAGAAAGAGCACAAACAAACATATTTAAGGTGCGTTTGGTATCCGGACAAGATAGGACAAAACAACTGTTTAGCGCTTGGTAAAGACAGAACTAGACAAGACAGATAAAATGACCAATTTACCCCTAATGAGTTGTTTATATATTTTATATATTTTGATTAATTTATGTAATCTATTAAATTATAATAAAATAAATATTTTTCATAACAAAATATATCATTGGAATGTTTTCGCCAAGATGATCAAAATGACACTAAAAAATAAAAAGTTTATGTAGCTTCCAAATTTTATTTTATACTTATTTTTTATTATTAATATTTAATAAATTACATAGATTAATCAACATATAGAAACCGTATAAAAATAACATTTTGAGGACAGTAAAAAAAAGTTTAAAGAGCATAAAAGAGGGAGGCGTATTTGATGTTCTAGAAGAAAAATATGTTTTATTTTGAAGTTATATCGGTAAAATATAGGTTTGTTCTTGTTTGTTCCTGTTCTTCTCTGTTCCACATAAAAGCCCTTCCAAATGTGGAACAATGATCTTGTTCACTTTTGTCTTGTCCAACTTACCAAATGCACCCTTAAGGATCTCATCTCATTTGGGTTTCACTTAACAATCTGCTCCCACCCAAAATAAGTTTCCATATTTCTAGTTTGTACCAAAATAAGTATCCACTTTCAAAATTACCTACTTTCTAATTTTACCCGTAATTAGAAGTTGGAGGAATTCATTACACCCTCTATTATCAAGGGTAAAATTGTCATTTAGTTAATTAAAAAGTGTAATAATTACACATTTGATTGTGGGCATTTTATTTTGGGATGAAGGAAGTATAAAACAAACTTGAACATGTGTTTGATGAAATGCAGAAAGCAGAAGACAGAAATTCAGATGAGCATCAAAGAATACATACACCAAAGAAGTTTGCAAATGAAGAATCCTCAGGGACATCTGTAGAACTCGAAGTAGTAAATGGTGGTTCCAGTGGCCCCTCAATTACAGCAGAAGTAGGTACAGCTTCAAGTTCTTCAAACTCACTACACAGCAAAACTTGAATCAAAGTTATTGTAAAAAATACTGTATAATGAACTTGAAAACAGATGATAGATATGAAATACGATTAGAAATATTAACTCAACAACCAAATAGACTGCATGTGATATCTTCGGTTGACAATCTTACCATCATAACTCAAATACTCCTCTTTCCCATACAATAACTGGTAGCAAGTGCTACTTTGCAGAAAAGTATCCTTTTCTGCTTCTTGAAAACCATAAAATAAATGAAGTGGAAGGCCTCACTTGCCAGGCTACCCACCTTGAACTTAAATTTTAAATTTGGTACAGTGGTACCGAGTTATCGGTTGAAAAGATGCTTGATGGAAAAAAGCAGCAGACACAGTGAAAAACAAGTGCTTCTATATACTCTATGCCTCCAAATGCTAGATTTTATGTGCTCGCTTATGGGTGAACAAAAAACAGACTCGAAGGAGTTCAAAAAAATCAAGTTTACCAAGTGACATCAGTCTTCTCACTTTATGGCATCCTGTTAATCTCTTTTATAGTAGTCAAGAAAGTATATCCAGTTATCCAAAAGTCTTGGCATCATTACCTTGCCACTTCACATGCATTCTAAACCAGATCAAACAAACCTAGCAAATCCGACATTGAGTATGTTTCTTGCATGGGTAAGATGTACGCCGAGCTTACCTCTACGGAGTAGAGAGGTTGTTTACGTGAAGACCCCCCCCCCCCGCCCCGGGTTTGCAAGAAAAAAGTGAATGCAGAAAACAAGAAGAAAAATAAGATTACAGCAAGAACGGCTTAGGGACAAAGAGTGTTAAAACAGAAGAATAGGAAAGTGAGCCCTAAAACCCCCTTTTAACATCTTCAGAGCGTTAGTAACTGGAAGAAAAATAATCTTCGACAGAAAAGAGTGTTGACAAACATGACTTATCTTGCAGTGATGCCCAAATGTAAATCATCACATCTACCTAATGGAACATCTTTCGATTGACCAAAACAGGAAGGAAACCTTCTACACAGCATAAGATGCATATGCTTATTATTTCAATTATTGGAAGGGTAAAAATAGCATCATCATCGTTGTGTGCTTATATGTATTACAAGTTCCCACATCTATCCAACCCCACCCTAAGGAGTTGACGGACTTATTTAATATAGAGGCTTAGAGTGGCTTTTAGCTTCCCTCTTCCAATCTTTCTGTGAATAATTCTGAGCTTCTAGATCCATCAATGTGAATCATCATATTTTGAAACATGGGAGAAGACTATTCTTCACTTCTAAAGCACAAGAATAATTTACACTTTACAAAAGATCACCACAGCTAGTCTTCTAGTGAAAATATTTAAGAATTCTTGACTTCAACCCAAAGAAAGATGTGCTTTTAGCATCCATGTAAGCAAGATTAATTTGACTATCATGAACATTGACACACAGGATAATGATCTGTAGATGCTATAAGATAGTACTAGCTACCTTTTGTTCACTTTTGGCTTGGGAGGGACTTTTGAATATGCACCGAGTATCCTGGACAAAACATTGAACAGTGAAAGAATTAAGTTATGTTAGACGACTTTAACTCTTTAAGAATATACACAATTATGAGGTTTTCAACAGATCCCATAACAAGATAGCAAAATGTCAAAAAAATTCCAATCAAATTGCAAGACTTGCTTCCTGAATGTAGAGAGCTTAAAAATCAAGTAGCAATAATTTATACTTTTAATAAAATAAATGATAAATTTGCCATAAAAATTGCATGTTTCATATTTCAAAAATACTGTTCACAACTTCAAGCATCAATGAAGTTTGATAGCTCTATTCCAACTCATAAATATTTCATATTTTAAGTTTAATAAGCAACATAATTATAAGGTCTTAAAGCTTACGACACTACAATATTAAAGAGAAAAGAGACTTTCAACTATCCAGTTTTTGGTAGAAATTATCGGTTAATATCCATCTTAATGAATCTCAAATAAATGGGTTAGACGATAAAAATCTTATTCAAATTAAAAGTTCTAATACTGTTTGAAATAATTGAATCGTCAGACATAAAACATAGAAGAGTGCAAGCTTAGCTTAGCTGTTCCATGTTGATATATGTTGTCAAGAAAGAAAACCCGATAACCCAATAAAAAAGAAAAAATTCAATACCCAAGACCCCAAAAGAAGAGTTCTTGAAAACTGTAGAGGCAAGTGAATGCATATATAGCATGTAAGTGCAGAAAGTCTCAGAATCCCTAACAAAACCAGATGGCTTAGTGACTTCAAATTTAAATGACTAGTTGAAGGTATCATCATAATCAACTTAAGCAACATGCATCATGTACCTATCTATCAAAATATGAAAAAATACAGTATATTGAGGAAAAAAAGAAGGAAGAGCAATACCTAGTGAACAGATTTGCAACATCTTCACACTCACGTGGATTATAGAACCAAATACCATTGACCTCTTGAGCAGCATTTCGATACAGTAGATATGGAACTTGAAGTTCATACTCAAAATCCCCTAAAAGATCTTCAACAAGATTTTCTGTTGATAGTATTAAATATGTCAAATAAAATTAAATAACATACTCATCTAAAACTAGGACACTGACACATAGGCCAGAGTTTATTTGTTCCACTCCACCAAGCTTTTAGCGAACATGACTGGTCCTCCAGTAGAATAGTCAATTGCTAGATCATTGACAGCAAGTAAGGTTTTTAAGCTAAAATTTTAATATAGAATAAGACCATCATAAAATTCACCAGAGTCTAGTTGATACGGATAATATATCGGAAAAATCAACCTATAGTAAAGTGAAGTGGGATTCAGAATTGAAAAATATCACTTGCATCTATATTGTCCCAGGTGATGTATCAAGTGGTTGATGGTTCAATTACATCATCCGGGACAACAGTGATGATTTGTTAAGTGATATTTTTCAATACTGAATCCCACTTCACTTTCTTGTACGTTGATTTCCGATGGAATATTATCCGTATCAACCAGATTCTGGTGAATTTTAAAACTTCCGTTTAAAAACCTTCTCTGCTGTCAAGTGTCAATGATCTAACAATTGGCTATTCTACTGGAGGATTATCAACTCTTCACATCAAAATTCTCCACGGCTTTTCTAAACATATGCAATAGCTACAGCCTACAGCATACCAGAGTTACATTTTTGTGTGATTAAATATGAAGCTAGTTAATTTTAGGACGATTATTCTCAGATAAAAGACTTGCGTCTCCAAGGAACAAAGTTAATGAGCTTTCATGGCTAAAAGAACCACATAATTATCTACTTAAGGGATCATATATTAATGCCATCCAATGAAATAAATGAACCAAAATGTAAGGAAAGTGGACGGAAGCTTGCCTGTATTTCGCCGATTCATTACAATAAACTGAAACCTTGGCTGGGTGTTCCTGCAAATAAATCAAAACAAGAATGTATATTTGTGTTTAACATATATGTGAGCATGTGTGCCTGTTTGGTCATTTTCCACTCTCCATATAAAGTCAAGTGGTCTAAAACTTCTTTTCGTTTTCAAGGAACAAATATGATCATCAAACAGCGGTATACTGACTCATTGACTTGTAAGCATAGTCTCTTATAAACAGGGACATTATTCAAATAGACTACCACCTCTTAACGACAAAGAGAGACCCTTCAACGTCCTTGCGACTCTGAAAAGGAAGCAAACAGCCAATAAGGAACGAACTCAGAGAAACACTAAAATTAAGAACCCTGTTACCCTACCTGCCTACCCTGTGGCAGTGGCAAAATATCTTGTTAGCATTATTTAAGTTCAGGTTTACATTTACGATCCATGTATACAGTGTCTCTCTACATATAACTTCTTCACCTTCAGTAACTTGAGGTAATATTATGATTTATGGGGATAAGAAGTGACATAATACAAGAGCATAAGACATAGATTCATGTCACCGCTAATACCAAAATTGAACATAACAGTAACACCCACACATTCGGATATATACAAATGTTTGTTTACAAATCCCCAGATGTAATATTTAACTCTTATATGTACATTTGTTGTAAAATAACACCAAGCTGATGTACCCTTTCTCTTGGTTGCCTGCCAGCACTACAAACCTTTTATTTTAAACATGTTATTCACATGAAATGGTTTGGGATAAGCATGTACAAACAAAGACCTAAACTCTATATAAATTAGCTTCATCATGAGCAACATACATTTTCAAACATTGTACATGTAAAGGTTAGAAATAGCATATTTAATGAAATCATTGTGCATACATAGTCCAAAATAGTGATATGCAAGCTTCTTTGAGAAGCATCAATACTTGAGTTAGAGTTCCATGTCTGCACAGAATGCAAATTGATGCTGGTGCAACTCGATATGCATCAGATTCATGCCATGTTTATTAACAAATGCACATGGCTCCAGTTTGGCCCAGCTATGTAGCATATCACTGAGGTGTGAGTGAGATACAATTTGGCTTTTTATTATCAAGGATTTGATCTATCTTTCCATCCTCCGGTTTCGAGGATACTTTTGAGGCCTAAAGGAAACAAAATGTTTAAAATGTTCAACCGAGATATTTACGTATATAACTTCAAATGAGATTTTAATTAAATCCATGACCTTCTCATGAGGATAAAATCATTTTTCCTTTAGTTAGCCAACAGGTCATGGATTTAATTAAAATCCCATTTACGATTATATCCCTAAATGAGTCATCTTTGACCCAACTTGTATATTTGAGAAAAAAAGACTCGAATGTTATGATCCCTCTATCACCTCGGAATGAAGGGGTTGATCTCATAGTTCTTGGTCTGGAAAGATGAGTTGCTAGGTGCTCCATTTTCCCATTGAGGCCGAACCTAAACCTATGAACTTGATTCAGTTGCATATCATAAGGTATATGAACAACTGCTTCAGATACAGTATCAGGAGGTACCGTTTTAAAAAACATACAGTTTAACTCCCTCTATAATCAGGATTTTAACATTTATTTGATTTCTAATTCTCTCATATCCTCTCTATTTTCTTAGTCATACATGCATATCTAATTGTTCCATCAAATGTCTAATCTGCTTGTTTCTGATGTACATTTCCTCTGCAATTTTATTTTTGTTTCTTATTTTCAGTCTTCGTTAGTAATTCTAGTCATGTTGTTTTATTCTTGTAAGATATGGCAATCCTACAAGAGTTTTTCAACAAGTATTGTCGAGATTATTTTTTATGCATTCAAATACTATGCTGATTAGTTTGTATAGGTTAAAGTACTCTTACGAAATTTCTTCAGTATCTATCTTTATTCATATTATTTATATGCATGTGGCTGTTTGGTTCAATATATTTGAGAAGGCCAAACCCACCCACTCACCTGATATACAAACACATTCCTATGCTTTATAAAAGCTACTATTACCATGTTATTAATGCATCTTTGTGCGTTTGTTGATTTGATATATATTTTCGGTGGATTACTTAATCAACCTGCCTCCACCTCATCTCTCTTCCTATCAGGGTCCAAACACCCATTACACTTCAATAATGATGTGCAAACTAATCCTAACCTGCACATGTTCCTAAAAGTAACTTAAACCAAATTTATGTCTCGAAACGATCCCACCACCAACGCTATCTCTTGGAGAACTTACTACAACATTCCATTTTATGCAATGCTTTTTAACAACATACCCGTTCCTACCAACATCGTCCCTTCATTTGATTATCGCTCCTAAATACAATTCAGCATTAATCTGGATTTGGACCATTGACCATTAATCTGGATTCTGGGTCATAGGAACTATGTGTTGCTAATATAATTATAATATATAAACATATCGTTCTCGAGAGATCTGATGCAAGGCTCCTGGAGCCTAAAGATGACAGCTTCTAATTACATTAATATAATAATATTCTCCTGTCAGCTTCTGATGGGAAGAAAAGACTCTTAGGATCAATTTGTTATTTTACCTACTCAAATGGGTGGGCATGATCTTCTACTAGTTTGTTGTCTCCGCACATTTAGTGGAGTTCTTATTATCCATATAACAGGATGATCCCCAATGCTGGCTATTGAAGGATATAATACGGTACAAGAGAATTTTCTTTAAAACACCGATTGTGTGATGTCCAGAGTTAAGATGAAACGCTAGGGTGCGATGATGAAAATATCTTAGGTGATAGAGATTCGGTATTTGTAAATCCCTATTTCTCTTTTTAATGTTTCCCCCAAACTCTTCCTCATAATCTGTCCTGCATCAACTCCAACCACCCATACCACCTACAATACCACCAATACCACTTGCAATAAATGGTGTATATCTCAAATCAATTCAACCCCGCACAAACATTCAACAAAATAAAAACGAAAATATAATAACCAATATATCAATCAAAAATATAATGAACTACACTAAAAAACCTAATGACGAGATAGACTTCGTATCGCGACATAATCAACCGTACACGACCTCGTTACCATATTTCTAGTATCGTCATTTACCCAATCAATGCGTAAAAGCTAAATGAATCAAAGGCAAAAGAGAAAAAGAAATCCAAACCCATTGATTGAGGTCAACGTTGAATTCGTAGAAGGTAACATGAGCGGCGGTGATCAAGATCTCCTCAATGTAAGGATCCATTCTCTGAAGAACAGTAAGGTTAAGGATTTTTGTACTGTTTTGATCCAGATTGGGCATCAATTTCCCATTTTGAGACATCTTATCTTTGATGAATTCGATCGAAATCAATCAAACTCTTGCAAAGAAACCCTAAACCCAGTCGAGCGAGAGAGAGAAAGGGTCCAATCTGATAAGGAAGTCGGTTATACGATTTTTGTTGGCGCTAAACAGTCATGGATCTTTTAACATTGAGTGGATTACATTTTCGATCCCTGTAGTATATTGATATGTTTATTACGGTCCCTCAAATATGTTTATTACGCTCTCGATACTTATGGTATGCGTTTTTGTACATTTTAAGTCTCTTCTTGAGGAATTTTTTGTTAACCCAATTATTTTAAGGGGCATATTGGTAATTTTACATGTTTTTTACTTTTATTGTTAAAATAAATAAACAAATTTTTTCTTTAGCTAAATGGATGTTTTTAAATACTTTCACTTATTAAGATTGTTCAAAATTTCATGATAATTCAAAAGAAATTAGTTCTATTATAATTAAAAGGGTATTAATACAATGCAGCGAGATAAATCTTCATTTTAATGTTTAGTTTTTATTATTTGTCTTTATCAATATAATATAATTTTATGTGGTTTTGAGAAAGCGGTAATGCTTTTATTTTAGAATGAAATATAAATTTAAAGATAACATAAAATTTTGAAAAAAATAAATCGGTATTAGTATCAAATTAACTATATAATAATTTTTTTTTTGATTTAATAATATTTTTTTATAAAAATAATAATTAAACATTATGTTAAAACTCATTGATTATCTTAATTATATTTTAGATTTTTTATATTTAAAATAGATGTTTATCCTATATTTGATTATATTTATCAGTATTTAATTACACGAACTTAAAAATGAAGTTTTAATAAGTTGTACTCACGTAAAATTACTTGTAACCTTGAATTTTAAGTAATATGCATCAATAAACAATATTTCATGCATAAAAAATGGTTTTTAAGAGTTTTTGTCAAATGCTTAATAATATAGTATAGATTACATTTATATCTAGTTTTGGTTTGCATATTTGGAATGGATATGGAATTATAGTGTCGAATCTTATTAGTAAATGCTTATCGGGTAAGTTTTTGGGCAAATAAGCTCCAAAAGAATCAATGGACGTTCGAACATTTGCTGAAGATAAATGTTCCAAAGTCCATATATTGAACAAAAATGTAACAAAGTTGACGTGAAACTCCAACATACCCTGGACCAGAGTGTCGAGAGAAGGCTATACGAATGAGATTGCATGTTGGAGTATCGAGTCCCTAGTCAGGCCCGGCCCTAGTAGTGGGTGGTCCGGGCGACGAGGCGGAACGGGAGATACGCTACCCGGCCCCAACCCCGGTTTGAGTCTACTGGGGATCCCAGCCCCAGGTCTCGGGACCCGTTTTAGCGGGAATCTCTGTCCACGTTCGGGTCGGATGAGCCGGGTTTCCCACTGGATTAGGCAAATCACCATCCCTAAAGTCGTACATCAAACTCGAAAAACATTTATGTTGTCGCAAACAGTAGATCCATATAAATTACGTGCATCGGTGAACAACTTTACAACCATTTTAATTCACACTTTGAGATTGATCGAAACACAAATCGGGATAATGAAAACAAGACAATCGTGAATAGAATTCATGTATATTTAAAGAGCAAATGCAGATAAAACGATCAAGACCATGAGAACGACGACCGTCAGAAAAGACGCGACAACTGCCCCGCTCACTTTTTGGCAGAAATCGTTGAATTGTTGACAGATTGCAGGCCAATTTGCATCCGAGTTCCCGTTATGAGCCAAGTAGACTATGGATGCAGCACCGCCGGCTGCCGCCGTGGTCAATGCGACCATAACCTGTGTTTAAAACATTTCAATTAGATGAGACTCGTAAAATGAAAAATAAAGAATACACCACCGTTATTCAAATGATAAAGATCGTAATATTAAAGATGGCTTACCGTGTCAAGGAAGATGAGAAGGACCCTCGGGGCCACCAAATGCGGCCGGATAATGCATACGATTGATATAGGGATCGTCAGGGCTAGGTAGGCGGCGGTGATGGCGTTGGCGATCACAAAAAACCTGTCATACGATACACACCGTATTAGCATCAGTCTTGAATCCATGATTATTAGATTCAAGGGCCGCGTTTTGTCAACCATAGGCTCACACCGCAACAAACTTAATTTCATACGTCTAAAATATAGAAGCGTCCTAAATATCTAGAATGTTACAGTAGGTTTATAGGACGCTTTCATGCGTTTTTTAAGTTTTTCATGACGCTTTTAAAATAAAGTGTCATATTAACTATTTTAGAAAAAAATGTTTTCAGATAGGGACATTTATATGATAGTTTTCAAAGTAAACTATAAAATAACTAGTAGAACGCTTTATTTTAAAAGCGTCCTAAAAAACTTGTTAAAACGCCTCAAATCATATTATAAATCTATTGTGACGCTTTATAGTTTAATTCATATTTTATAAAACATTCTATTAGGACGCTTAAATAATCTAGACGTTCTATAAAATCAATTTTATTGTAGTATTCTAGCTTATAAGCTAACTTATTTTTTGAGCTTATTTCAAACCACTTGTTTGGATGAGCAAAAAATAGCTGCTAATTAAAGTAGCTTATTAAAACATTATTTGGAGTAGCGTTTCAACAGACTCCAAGAGTTTTTTGGCACTTTCTTTCAATTATACCCATAAATCAGCTAGCTTATCAGTTAGTTTTTGCCAAACGTGATTAGCTCATCAGCTAGGTTTTCACTTTTCAGCTACCAGCTAGTTTGCTAAACATAACCAAAAACTCGATTACATACCAGTTGGGTAGCCGCTAACCATTATCGTAAAGAGTCTACTTGACGTTAAAAATCAATCGTTAATATTTTCTTTGAAATGAAAGATAATTATATGATTGTGACTTACGTAAAAGCGGGTAAATCATCGAACTCGGCTTTGAACTGAAAGAACTGAGTGAAGAAAGGGAGGGTTTGGTCCGTAGAACCCATGGCTATCGCGGCTCCTAAAGCAGTAGCGATGCCGGCTAGCCTTAGAATCACATCGAATACGGCTAGCCCTCGTTTAGACCCTCCCTTCGGAGCCTTTTGAAACACTCGTTTGATACCACTTGAGGCTGGCGGTGCAGCCAAAAGTGGCGCCTTTCCTTTCCGTTCCTTCGGTGTCTCTGTAACGTTGATCGTGGTCGAATCGGCTTCCATTTTAGTGAGAGAAAAAGAGACCGGAATCTAGAGAGAGAAAGCAGGGTCTAGAGAGAGAGGGGAAAGGAAATATGTTGAAAGGTGGTGAGGGAAATGGTTCTATGGAAGAAGGTATTAATAGAAGAATTGAAATGAATCAAGAGTTGGTTAAACAATTTGTGAAGAAGGTATAATGAAGTTGATGGAGGAATAGAGTTGTTGGCATCCTTTTATTTGTTATTTTATTTTATTTTATACTTATTGAAAAATATATCGTTATTTATTACATAAATATTAAATTATACTAAATGATCTTTAATCCAGCAGTATCATACTCTTTGACCTCTTAACAAGTCAGGGGTTCAAACTTTACCAAATATTAGAAGGGTATATGATTTTATTTATTATATTTATTGTATATAAATATTATATACTTAAAAAAATATTTAACCATCAGTTATTCAAATATAATTTTAAATATTAAAAAAAAGCATAAATCACGTGAAACGGATAAAATCATCAATTAGTTTTATGTGTTTTTTATTAAGAAAAAGTTTGTCGATTAACGGTGAAACTAATATCCTATTTAAGTTTATTTTTATTTAAATATAATATTTATCTTAGATATATTAATAGACAAGTGATGATGTGAAATTAGGTTGTTTTTATGAGACACATGAGATCATATAAATAACATTAAATCTTTATGGTAAAACAAGGTAAAGATTCGGTGTTTTTTATACCTTCATAATAATTTGTTATAAAGTTTTAGTTTTATTTTGTGAACTTACAGTTACAGATGTCACAAAAACTGGTTGATTTTATAGCAACCTTACACTATTTATACTATATTATAAAACATTTGACAAAAACTCTTAAAATCATTCTTTATGCATGAAGTACTGTTTATCAATGCATATTACTTAAAATTTAATATTACAACTAAACTGTACATAGATACAACTTATTAAAGCTTTATTTTTGAATTCGTATAACTAACTGCAGATAAATATAATCAAATATATGATAAGCATCTCATTTTAAATGATAAAAAATCTAAAATATAATTAGGATAATCATTGAGTTCTAACGGAATTATTATCTTTATAAAAATTATATTGTTAAGTGAAAAATAAATTACTTCGTTATTAGACTTAAATTAAATTATAATAAAAAGTTGAATTAAAAGAAATTGTATAAAAGGAAAAAGAGAACTTTTAAATAGTTAATTTTATATTAATATCGATATATTTTTTTCAAATTTATTTTTATTCAAAAGTAAAAACAATATCATTTTCAAAACGACATAAACCGTATTATATTAACAAAGACAAAAAAATAAAACAAAATACTAAATAAAAATATATCTCGTTGCATTGTACAAATACACTATTTAATAATATTATGATGATTCAAAGGTCAATCAAATATATAGGTTTTATTCACAAAATCAGTCAACTAAACAACTTGACTTTATGATTTTTTTCCCACTCCACTATGGTACGAGGGGATGTTATCCTACCTAAACCCCTATTAGTGAAATATTAGTACAAGATTTTATCAAAAAACACCCAAAATTTATGTTTGAAAAAAAACTACATATATGCACCCACATTTACAATCTAATCAACAGCGGACCCATTTTTTTACCAAACATGTGCACTTTTTTACGGTGGATCAAAAGCTTGTAAAGCCATCTGATGTGTTTTTAGCCAAATTCCATCGTTTCAAGGTTTTTTTTTCTGTTTTTTGATTGGTGTTTTGAGATATTTTTAATTGATTTCGAGACTTTGTAGGGTGTTTTTTTTTATTTCAAGATATCTTTCCTCTTTTTTGGTTGATATTTCTTATAATAACTAATATACGGGAGCATCCCTTGAAAGTATTTAGGGGTCGTTTACTAAACTCTTACCTGATAAGTGTTTATGAGGCATTTTCCCTCACCGTATGAACATGACAAAAACCAAGAATCTTACCTGTTAAGAGCGATGATAAGGATTGAAACTCTTACCCGGTAAGTAAGGGTGATGACTCTTACCCGGGTAAGCGCTTACCGAGTAAATTGTTGCACACGACTCTTATCCGGGTAAGCGCTTACCGGGGTAAATTGTTGCACACAATTCTTACCCCGGTAAGCGCTTACCGGGTAAATTGTTGCATAGAATATCGTTTTGATGTACTACAATCTTATCAAATAAAGATAAATTATAATGTTGATTCCTACCTGTAAGTGCTTACCCTGTAAGCGCTTACCGAGTAAGCATTTGGGTAAACAGCTGATTTTACAAACTATGACTCTTCTCGTGTAAGCGAATGATGAAATTCTCCACTAAAAATCAGAATCATATACGTATTAAGATCCCAGGAACACAAGAATGTGTTTTCTGGTTCATCATAGTATCGAGACAAATCAAAAACACAAACGAACAGCAATGATGAGGCAGGAAAAGTGTTGATCTAGGGGGTGTTTGAGATTGCTTATAAAAACAACTTATTGACTTTTTCTGGTATGACATTGGTAATAAGCATTTTTGAGTGTTTGGATAAACAGCTTATACCAGTACCAAACCGGTAATAAGAAGTTTTTTAAGAAGTTAAAACATTCTATGAAGTTGGAATACCATCCTAAAACTCATCGGAATTCGCCATTCTAATTCTTCATGGAATGAACCAAACGAAAAGAGACATACACAGTAAGATAAGTTCCAATCTCATAAATATAGAACCGAAAGCATCGTCTGAATAATTTGTTTCAAAATCCTAGAACCGATACTTAATATCCCCATAACATAAACAGAAAAAAGATGAACAAATCTGGGTTCTAACAAGCACAACGAAACAAAATTTGACACGATATCCTTGAAACAAGCTTTAAACTTAGTATCCTCCTTTGAGATCGTTAACAACATCATATGGAATGGGAGTTACGGTCTCTAAAGTCGTACCTTCAACCATGAACCCTGGTTTGGGTCCCAAAGGTTGCCTCTTGGTGCTGATCACCTCACCTCTAGCCTTCGCCTCCAACTTTAGTTGATCGTTCTTCTTAACCCTCTGCTTGAACTCTTCTGTGCACCTCGAAGGCATCACATGCTCAATACGAACATGAATCCTTTTCTTGATGATTCTGTTACCAACCTGCAACACACAAATATGTAATGGACATTGTTAAAATACAACATAAAAGTGTAAAATTAATGACATTATAAGCCCTGTTTCTTGCTTCCGTAGCACTAAGAAAGCAAAAAGAGGATAAGACATTTGATCAGTGTGAAACTTCAGTTCGGTTCAAAAATCAAGTAATAAACATGAGGGGATGTTTGGTTGGTTTTCCATTAAGTCATGTATAGTTGACCGAATAAGTTGTGAGTCCCATTAAGCTCATTAAGCTGCTAACAAACAGGCCCTTACTCAATAAATAGGGAAAACACCTCGTCGATGGTGAATATATTACATGCCAAGATACAGAAAGGTTGCTAAAAATAGTTAAAATTTCTTATTGTCCGATGAATGGATCAAACATAGTGGACAACACATGGATGGCATTCTTCTTGACATCAAATGCTCCATTACCCACAATCATAAACTTTGGGGTTGAAAAAATATGCTAATAATGCAACCTATATTTCTTGAGGGAAGATAATCGACCAAGCATAACTAAATATAAACTCAAAAAAGAACTATAAAAAATTTAAATACAACAGGCATATACAATACTGTTAAGAAAAGACTGATATACATCAATTGGCAAACATAGAAAACCACCCTACTCCTCTTTCAGCAAATACTAATGATCGCCACACAAACATATAAACAAAGACAGCATATCCCACCTGAAATAGGGTCTGGAAGATAGCCTGGTCAGATGTAAACAACTACAAAAACGGATCAAGAGGTGTTTTGAATTCTATCCACAAATTCCAAAAGTGACGGGTGAACTATTCGAATAAGATTGACATTTACATCAATTACGCTGAATTCAAGAAACTTAAGGCAATTATCACAAAAGTTTCATCCATAACATCTACTTCAGGTAAACATTAAACCCTAAAACCATCAATCAAATCTATCAATCACCCAAACATCTACAACTGAACACATTGCAATGTTTCCAAATCATAAAAGAGAGGAATAACTAAAGATTAACCTGCTTGTTCATTTCAACACCAATGGCACGCTTGGTGACGTTCCAAACCTGACCGGTGCGTCCATGATAGAACTTATGAGGCATACCTTTGTGCACGGCGCCGTTCACCTTGATATCAACATAATCTCCGACGTGATAAGTTCTGAGGTAAGTGGAAAGATGAATGGTACCCTTCTTCCTGAATCCTCTGGCGAATAGGTCCCTTGTCCTGGACCTCAATCCATGTCCCGCCGGCATCTTTCCCTGTCTTGGTAGATCGGAAAATCACAGGCGATAGAGGGTATAAAACCCTAATTTGCAGCGTCTGACATTCTAATAGGGATTTTGTTACATGGATTCGGCTAGGGCTAGGGTTCGGCCCAGTGGGCTTTCACCAATAATTGGCCCGTTTTACCACATTTTCGTTTTACTTTTTTTCCTTTACAATAATCGTTTTAGAGTGAATTACGTTTTTTGTCCCTCTGGTTGTTAAAAATTGCAGATTTCGTCCTTATAGTTTTGAAATTTCCATTTCAATGGTTTGCAATTCATTTCTATTTTCGTCCCTATGGTCGAAACACTACTTTTAAGTATAAAGGATTAAAATCGGAATAGTTATAAACCATAATGAAAAAAAAAAAAAAATCATAAGAACAAAAAGATAATAAATAATAAACCATAAGGATGAAAACAGAAATTTTCAATAGACCATAAAGATTAAAAACGTAATTTACTCTTAATTTTATAATAAAAAAATAAATTGTAAATAATGAAATTATCAGTTTTGTTTTAATTAGGCAATGAAATGGAGTTAGGCATTAGAATGGGGGCGGGGATGGGGCAGTGACCACAATCCCCGTCCCTGTCCCCTATTACTTATCTCTATTCCCGTCCTCGCCTCCATCTCTGCCGGGAAATATAATCACATCCCAATCTCCATCTCCAATGGGGGAAACGCAGGTCTTTTTTTCCGTTTATGTAAGTTCTTTTAAATTAAATATGTGAGAGACCATACATATGTTAAAATCTCAAACATTTTCAATAAACATAAAATCAAAATGAATTTAATTTAATACAAAAAAATATCACAATATCATATAAAAACTAATAATCTAAAACCAGGAAAAAGAATTCAATTTAATCCAAAAAAAAACTTAAAGTCGCATGTAACAAAACATATTGAGTAATATAAAACCATATCAAGAAATATATAAAACTTATCAAGTAATTGTATTTTGATTTGACATCCAAAATATTACATATTAACATCCAAAAAATAACATTTTTAGGTTATAAACCTAGTTAGGAAATATAAAATTATGAATTACCACTTTAGTTGAAATAAATAATATATATATATATATATAATTTATTAATTAATATATATAACGGGTACGAAACGGGGCGGAGAGTATGATACCCGTCCCCGTCCTCGTCCCCATCCCCGATTTATCAGGGAATCCCCATCCCCGACCAGGGTGGGTGGACCAGGTTCCCCAACGAGTCGGGACCCATTCCTATGCCTAAATGGAGTGGTACTGGTACCTCAAACTCTCCCTCCATTCGCGTCTTTAATAGGGAGTATGAGATTTTTTTTCATTTATATAAGATATTTTAAATCAAATCTGTTAAAAATTACATTATCCAAAATGGTTTATTTTCAAAATTTTGTTTTTATAAAGTATCAAATATTCATATGTTAATAAAATCACAACATCATATGTGATTGTTTGCTTATTGAATAAGTTATTTTTAATATAATTAATCTATTAACAACACACGTATATAACTAATCACATAAATTGTAAAAATTATTATACTTATTAAACTGCCAACACACTCTTACTTGAATTTATGAATCGTTATTTTAATACATTGAATGGATAAGATTAAATACGATAAAGAAAGTCAAAGCTGAGATCCTTTGACCAAACACAATAACGTGGTTGGCGGTGTGGACTGTGGAGGCTTCAAAGGTCAAAACCATGCACATTTGTTGACCATCATATTTAAAGCCTTCAAATTACGTATACATCACTTGTAACACTTTCAATACCGTTCAGCAAAAACTCGTTTATTACACTTCATATTCAATTTTTTTTTTTGGGAAATAACACTATAATAAACTGAACAAACAGATTCAAATTCATTTGACCTATTCTATTTTTTTTTATTAACCTGAATATCCAACTCGTTATGCGAACCGACTAATTGCAGAACGACCATCTGTTTTGCGAGTAGCCAGAAGTTACCGTATTTGAACCTTCATGGCCATATAATGATTTTTATTTCTCCTTGGATTTGAACCTGAACTTCTAGGCACTTTTGACCTTTGAATCTTAAGATCAAACCAATCAGACACCACTCTTGTGGTTTTCTATTTTATTTCCTATCAATTAAGCATTTCATGAAAGTTGATAACATTCAATTAAAAAAATTAAACTTGAATCCTTTTGATAAATATGTTCATTTAGAAAACGTTTTTGCATACCGTACGCCTTCAAGTATAATTTCTAAACGAGTCAGGGTCTAAATTTAAGTTTACACATACGTTTAAATTCAAGTGTTTTTTCACATTTGTGAGAAAACCCGAATAAATTACATATTGACGAAAGAAAGAGATTTTAATATATATATATATATATATATATATATACACACGTAGAGGATAAATGGTCAAAGTCTAGCAATGCGGAATTCTAAAACGTCCACTACAATGAATGCTAGAAAAACACAGATTATTCCCGAGTGTCGAAAGGGAGCTAAACGAGTAATCCCAAAATGTCAAGTTTCTACAGTAATAGACCTCAACTGTAATTATATGTCAAGTTTCTACAGTAATAGACCTCAACTGTAATTCTATGTCAAGTTATATGTCGAATCCATTTAATTACTCTCCAAAATAAATCCTTACGGAGAGAAATTGTTGTTCCAACATCGAAGTATTTATTTTCCTTCCCTTTCCTCATTTACCAGAAAATAAAAAATAATCCAAATGAATTCAAATCCGTAATCTGTAATATCATGTATAATAAAAATATCAGTAAGCTGTAATCACTTTTTTAATAGACAAATTATATGAAAAAGTAACGTTCTAAACTGAATTTCTTTTTGGGTAACATACTTTCATTTTGGTACCTAAAATGTAAAATTTTAAACAATAAGTACTCGGGTAACCGATTGAAAACTAATTTTAGATTAAAAAAATCCATGTCATTAACCACGTCAGTAAATGATACTAAGTTGGATACCACATCACTTGCTACATCAGCATAATACATGGACGGACCTATATGCATGTGGTATAGGTGGCACATGCCACCGTATTATTTCTCCACTAAGGGTAAAAAAAAATTAGGTTTCGTGAACGGTGCTACCGTACTAATTTGTTGTGTGCCACCGTACAATGAGAACAAGTTTTATTTGGTAGAGTTGGTTTGCAAGACTTTTATTCCACCCCACATCCAAGTCCGATTCATGTTAGTGTCGTTTTCTTAGTCAAACGGTGCTACCATTTGGGAAAAAATCCGTATGTTTGTTTCTTATACTCAAACGATGTCACCATTTGAAAACAATTTTCTATATTTTTTTTTTCCTATGGTCAAATGGTGCCACCATTTAAAACCATTTCTGGGTCCGTCTCTGGCATAATAACCGGTTAATACTTCAACTATTTATCGGGATATTTAAAATTTTACATTTTAAATATCAAAATGAAAATTTTAAAAATATATCATCTAAAATAAAAATCAAATTAAAATACGTTATTTTTTTATACAACATTTTTATAATTATATTAACATCATAAAACAGTGACACAAACAAAGCCTTCTTGATAAATCCGCCCCTAACGCGAGGCTACATATTTATTATGATGACTAATTCTAAATCTAGAAATTTTCTTTTTAATTTAATTATATATTTCCATTGATTTTTCTTCATGTAATTCAAGTATAAAAACCCAATCACCACGAAAGAAAATAGAAAAACATCTTCATCCACCATTTCACAATCTACAACAACACCATGGCCAATAATCTTATCTCCGCCACCTTCGCCCTCGTGCTTTTCTCCCTCCTCCTCGCCGGAAAATCGCAAAACTTCTCGACCAGTTTGCCACGATCAGCGCTGCGACTTGGGCGGCAAAACCTAACCCACCTCCACTTCTTCTTCCACGACGTTGTGAGTGGCCCAAACGCCACCGCCATGCGGGTGGCTACCTCCCGCATTACCAACACCTCCGCCACCGGATTTGGGGCGGTGGTGATGATGGACAACCTTTTGACGGTGGGGCGGGAACCGAACTCCACCCGTGTGGGAAGAGCACAAGGGATGTATGCATCGGCCGATTTGAATGATATGAGCTTTATGATGGTTCAAAACTATGTGTTTGACGAGGAGAGGTATAATGGAAGCACTTTGAGTATATTGGGTCGGAACCCTATTATGTCGCCGGTGAGAGAGTTTCCGGTGGTCGGAGGGAGCGGTGTTTTCCGATTTGCTCGTGGGTATGCCGAAGCTCGAACGATTTACCTGAATGAAACTAGTCAAGATGCCATCGTGGAGTACGATGTTTATGTCCTCCATTGATGATTTAATACGTTCAATATTTGAGCAGAAGCTGGTCTTGCATAGAACCACCATCACATCACATGTTAGAATTCATTTCTGTATAATTGTTTATGTTTTTTATCCCATTTTTGTTTACTAATTTTATTTTTTTCTCATGCGATACTGTAAAATTTTATTGTAATATCAAATAAAAATTAATGCAATTATTCATTCAATTTTTTTAATTAATATTTAAAATAAAATAAAATTCGTTCAAACACTTATTTATATATATATATACATACATACATATGTATATATACCATAAGGGTACTCGCGTAATGCAGCGAGATACATCTTGATTTTATTGTTTCTTTTTATATTTTGAGTCTATCGATGTTATAATGCGATTTTATGTAGTTTTGAGAGGAAAAAAATGTTTTTATTTTTGAATGAAATATAAATTTGAAGATATTATAAATTTTTGAAAAGAAATAAGCAATATTAGTATCAAATTTAACTATTTAAAAGTTCTTGTTTTGTGTAATTTCTTTAATTCAATTTTTTATTATAATTTAACTGAAGTTTAGAAATGAACTAATTTATTTTTGGTTTAATAAAATAATTTATTTAAGATAATAATTAAGTATTTTGTTAGAAATCAATGATTATTTTAATTATGTTTTGGATTTTTTATATTTAAAATGAGATGTTTATCCTTTATTTGATTATGTTTATCCGCAGTTAGTTACATGAATTCAAAATGGAGTTTTAATAAATTGTACTTATGCATAATTTACTTGTAATCTTGAATTTTAAGTAATATGCATCAATATACAGTAATTTATGCATAAATAATGGTTTTTAAGAGTTTTTGTCAAATGTTTTATAATATATATATATATATATATATATATATGTGTGTGTGTGTGTGTGTATGTATGTGTGTTAAAACGAGAACGCTAACTATTTAAGAGAAAAAAAAGTTAATGGACAAAATCACATGTGATTTTACTTTAACGTCAAAAAGTGGAAAGCGAACGACTTTTGAACTTATATGAGTTGGTACGTGAATATATATGTATGTGTGTGTGTGTGTGTGTGTGAATCATGTATGATTTTGTACGTAAATTATGTATGATTTTGTACGTGAATCATATATAATTATGTACATTGACGACTTTTTTCTTGTTTTATTAAATAGTTACGGTTCTTGCGCGTGTGTATGTGTATATATATAGGAGTTAAATCAAATGAGAATCACATAAATGTTATAAACCCATGAGAACCGGTTAAAATATTCTTTTGCATGATTTTTTTTCCATCGAATGTTAGAATTTAAGATATTGTTTAATATATATTTGTTTCATAATATGATATTTTTACGTTCATTTGTTTCTATTCGTAAATATTTATTACCCTTTGTGATTTGATATTATTATAAAAATAATAATATTTTTTTTCTTTCTAATAAAACTCTTAATTATTTGTAAAATTAAATATTCTTGTTTTTAACTAAAATTGATTATGTTGATACCGATGGCAAGTAAAGAGAAGTATAAATGGACATTAAGGCCCAAATCGTTAGACAGGAGAGGAGCAAAAGGCCCGATGATTAGGTACCGAGCTTTATGGAGGTTAGAAATCAGACTTGTCAATTGTTGAATGGTTTGGTATAGGATAATTAAGTGGTCAGAATGATTAAGAGACTCTTATGATATAGTGCAAAATGAAATATAATTGTTTGGTAATTGTGTACAATAAAATTAGGGTTCTTAATGGTTAAGGAAGATCCATGATACAAAATCATTCAGAAGGTTTTGGAACCATTAAAAGGCATACTTTTTTTTTTGCTAAACAAGATTCACCTCTTAACGATTCAGAGGTTGTCTCTTAATGGAACTATTAAGAGGTAAACAAACAACCCTTTTATATATAGAGAACGGATAAAGTATTTTTGGTCAGGATCAATTATTATAAAAGGAAAGTCTTGATCCGGGACATGTTTTTGGCCATCTCTAGTTAGATTTATGTCAAGGGTTATTGGGTTTTGACTGGTTATATGATTGACCCCTTAAAGAACTGGTTAAGTAAGAAAAATTGTGATTAGTCAAGGCTCGGTTAAAATAGCTTTAATGCAACATCACATGGAGAAAATTCATGTGAAATGCACGACACTGAACATGACATGCGACGTCGAGTAAGGAAGTCACATATGGCTTGGGAATAGGTTATGAGCAAAAAATATTAGTCTTCGATAATCGATCTGTGATTGTACACATAAAGATGTTATATCTTGTGTATGCATTGTTGCAAGGTGGCAAATAGACTTGCACCTCGACAACGAATTTCATGTGACTTTTAAACTAGATACATGTCTATGTATATATAATTTGACTTGTGTATGTAAACCAACTGTAACAATGTTTGGACCAGTACATGTCATGATGTACCTCTATACAGTGTCAAATTGATATATGATGCATGAACTGTAACACGTATTATGAGAAACACATATGCATTTGAGGGTTGATTTTATGATTGTCGTTTCACCCATACAATACTCAATGTTGACCCGCACGATAAGTTTAAGTCTTCTATTTGTTAGTTTGATTATGATGTTATTTACTTTTATTTAAGATGTATTTAATATTTATATATATATATATATATATATATATATATATATATATATATATATATATATATATATATATATAATAAATCTTGTTACAATCATGTTGGTTGTCTAGATGGTCAAGAACAAGAAGGGGTTCCACTTAAATGCTTCACCCACTTGATATTAAATGTGTATTTATTTTGGGATGTGATTTCCATTAAATTAGGATAGATAACAAGGGTATCATGTATAATGTCTTCTTTTATAAGTATGACACATGAAATTGACTAAATATATCACATAACAAAACAAATTGTCATTTATACGATTCTTGCAGTCAACCTCAATCGTTAAGTGAGTAAAAAAAATGTTTCTTTACATTGGTGTCATTAGTGGCGGGTCCATGTGGGACCAGCTGAGGTGGTCGGTAATCAACTTTTTGCTCAAATATTGTCTTGTATACAACATAAATCAATATTTCATCTATGACTTTTAAATATTAACATCTATTACGAAAACTGAAAAGATCCCGCACAAGAAACCACGTTTACCAAATAAAGTGTAGTCTTGAAACCATGATCGGGAAATGTCTTGCACAATAGATCTCATGGCATGGGTAGATCAAAGTAGAGTTGACCAAACAAGGTTCGGGCCTGACCGGTTAAGCCTAGTCCAAAAAAAAAAAACCAGTTAAATTACAATGCGCACTTTCTTAATAAATCATAGGTTTTTGTGTAAATAGAGTTTTCCTTAAAGAAAATAGATTAAATAAACGGATCAAGCCTAGGACCAGACAGGGACTGGTATTGATTATGATGGTTACAAACAAGTGCATATCTTCCTCAAGATCGGTTCCTGAAGGCCCAATTATATTTCAAAAATTCATAATTGGTTCGTTTAAGGCATGAATTTTACCCATCTCTACATAAAGTTTATATAAATGTGGAAAATATCTCAACTATTGGCGGGGTGAAACATAGATACTGGTATTTATATAGATGTGTCGCATAAACAAGTTGAATTTGGTTCAATGTAATTAAAAGGGTAAAATCTAGAAAAACTCAATAAATTTTCACATTGTAAGTCATTAAGGTTGTTTATCAAATGTTTATCTGGAAGTGTTTACTGTCAAAATTCAACACTATTACTTACTTGGGTAAGATTTTAATCCACCAAAACGTATCGTATACAACAATTTATCGAATAAGCACTAATCATGGTAATAGTTGTCACACTTACTTACGGGTAAGAGTTTTGTTCCTTGCTTTAGGGGCCGTTTACCTAAACACTTACCCGGTAAGCGCTTACCGGTAAAATTCAACACTATCGGTTACTTACCAGGTAAGATTTGAGTCCATCAAAACGACATTGTATGTAACAATTTACCCGAAAAACGCTAACCGTGGTAAGAGTCGTCGCCATCATTTACCGGGTAAGACTCTTGGTCATTGTATTCGCTCTTATCGGATAAGATTCTTGGTTCTTGTCATATTTATCCGGTAAGGTAATGTGACTTGGTACACGCTTACCCAGGTAAGCATTTAGTAAATAACTCCTAAGTTGTCTTTGCTCTTACTGGGTAATATTCTTGGTTCTTGTCATATTCATTTAATAAGGTAATATGACTTGATAAGCGCTTACTCGAGTAAAAGTTTGGTAAACGACCCCTAAGTTTCTAAACTTTTATTTAAATAAATAAACCATTGAAGTGTCTCGTTTTTTTAATAATTATATTTCTGAACAACTTTTTTGAATAAATAAACCATTAAACTTTTATAAAACACAAAAAACGACCTATAATTGACTCTGAATGTTTTAAAGTAAAAAAGAAAACTTAAATGAGTTTTACCGTTTCCGAATCCTATACCATTCAAACCACGCACAACCAAGCGTCAGCACTCCCCCTCGCCGCCACATCGTCATCCGCTCTCCATCAGCGTAGATTGGCATCGTTGACCCCTGTGACATCTCTCTCTTTTTTATCTAATTTTTTTGTTTTCTTTTCATATCAATTTTTTTTTGTTTTTTCTATATGTAGACCATTAAATTGTCAGAAAATAGGGAGAACCGATAGAAAAAACAAAATAAAAAGAGAGAGATTAATGGTGTAGGCCACTACATATTGTCGTCGTCACAACTACCACCCCATCGACTGCCACTATTGTTGTCGTCACAACTATCATCCCACCGATCACCATGCTACTGTTATTGTCGTCATAGCTACCATCCCAAATAAAAATAAAGATTTCGATTATTTTGAGAGATTTTGGTCAAATCCCATCAAAATCCATTACAATTACTTCAAAATCAAATTCCATTTTACAAACCGGCCGCATAAATAACTAAAAATTGCTTTGGGTGATTCTTCGATTTATACGTATAATGTACACGTTTTATTTATTTTGTGATCTGAAAATCATGTGTTCATTAAAAATCCCCTCCTTTGTTACTAAAGGGCATTCGGCCTAGCGGTATCGTAGCCCTTGGCCTTTTACGAGGTCAGGGGTTCAAACTTCACTATAGATG